CAAAACTGGATCTTTGGGTTTGCAAGATAACTTGTCGGATTTCAGGTAGTCTGGGCAAAATGTAAGTAAACAGAGATGAAATCTATTTAAGCTGGAGAACCTTAAACTCCACAAGGTATCTACAGTAGGTAACCAACAACTTCACTTCCTGATACAGGCTCCAGGAAGTACAAGGGATGGGATGCCAGTTCAATACAGGGCACCTAAAAACCAGAATACCTGGGCACAACAGGGTGAGAACATGAAAAATGCTCCATGTATTATTCAAACCGCCAACCGTGGGGATGCAGTGCTGACGCAGTGCCACATGCGCCCCCTCCGAAGCCGCAACACTGCAGTGAATTTGAAAAGCACATGAATTAATATCTCATGGTCATACTGGAATTTACACTGTATGCCGCATTCCTGTGGTCTGGTAGCACTGAAAAAGGATGGTGGAATTCGGATGTCCATGGAACGTTCCCTGATCCCTTATGGTTGAGGGGAGGATGGAAATAAACTGGAGCTTTAGGAGATGATGTTTCATTGAGATGTTGATGTTTCCACTGAGATGTTTCATTCATTCAGACAGACCCAGTGTGCACAAACTTTTTGAGGGGCAGGTATGATCACAGTGAGGGGGGGGAGATTCCCCCTCACATTTTCATGATTGGGTGGATGATCTTGCATGATCATTGGTTTTCAGGCATTACCCCAGCCCCCCCGTGCCTGGAGCAATTGGGGGTAAAGGGTCTTGCTCAAGGGTTCAATGGCAAAATTACTGTATTGACTCTGGGACTTGAACTGACGAACATCAGATCACAACCACAGCATCGTAACCCACTGAGTCATGCAACAGTAATGAGAGGGCAGTTATTTTTATCTGCTCTGAGCAAATGTATCTCTTATATGTCAGTTGTCCAGTCTGAGAATTTTATTTAGTGGGGAAGGTTTTTTGTGATTAACTGAAGTAATTTTAGAATGTTTTGGATTTTCTCATTAAATCAAATAATTTCAACAGCAGATTTCAAACTCAGTGAGTTCTTTAAATTGAATAAGAGGACTCCATTTCTTCACAATAACTGTCATTTCTAATCAGTAATCTGTTATGCAGCGTAGTGAATCCAGTCTAAAGAGTCATTGTGACTGTCAGGTATGTATTTCTTTGCGGCATACAGATAGGAACGGTACATCATCTATGTGAATAGTGTACTGCTAATTTTTCTTATGTCTTCTCTATCTGTGGTAGGATAAAATTGTAACTGACATTAATCACCTTTTTTCAGTTACCTTGCTTACATGGTACCTTATGATACGCCAACGTGATAATTATTTAAATTTTCACTTTGTTTTTTCTTCCTCCTTTAAAGTTCCAGCTTCTGCCATAATAAAGCAAAGGTGTTATCAATATTTTACTTGCCTTTATTTATAGGTCAGTGCAGAGATGGGAGATGTGCTCCGGCTGTAGTTTACCTCACTGCAAAACTCTTACATATTATTCCTGATAGGTGGCATGGGGGCGCAGTGGGCAGCATTATCGGGTTACACCCTCTCCTGTGTTTATGGAGCTGTCATCTTTCTCCCATGTCATGCAGTTAGGCTAGTTGGCAGCCATCATGGTACCCGTGGTGTACGATTGTGTGATGGACCAGCATCTCGCTCAGGGTGGACCCCAGCATTCTGCCCTTTGTTGCCTGGGATAGGCTCCAGCCCCCCCCCCCCCCCCCCCATGACCATGACCAGGCTAAATGGTTAGAAGATGGATGAATGTTCTCTGATAATCCAGCTTATGTAACAAAGAATGACGTGGTTCCAAGCTTTTGGGTTGAACATTCTCCCCTGTTGTCGTATCGTGATGTTTAATTAAATGATCATTATTTGTACGACTATAAAAACCCATAGATAGTAGTAAAAGGTGGGAACAGCTATAGCAGAGCAGTTAAAAGCATGATGTAGCAACCCGAAAATTACTCACTCTAGCCTCAAGAAATGTCCATGCTGTTGTACCTTTGAAAACAAACCTGGTTGTTACATGTCACCTTATAACCTGACAATATAATCATTTAAAACAAACGTCCAAAGAGAGCAGATTATGGAACTTTTTTTGTTTTGCCTGTTTCTTTTTGCACATAAATGATTAAATTGATCAGTTTGTACCTGTTGCTACAGTAGAGTGCATTCTCCCCTGCCTCCCGGCTTCAGTGGACATTCACACAGAGACCGTGCCAGTACAATTTGACAATTGTTTACAGGACAAACACAGACAGTCCATAAAAAAACACTTCAACTATTTGTCCGAGCAAATACGCTCTTTGCCTTTCAGACATTATTGATTTTTATACTTGTTGGCAATTCTGCTCCAGCACATGTGCAATTAATGCATTTTAATTTTTGGCAGTAAATTAACAGACATTGTGACACTGTAATTGTCAAATTGTCACATTTTAGGAATAATTTGAATCTGTGTATAGTACATTTTCTGTGCTAACTGACATAATTAATGCCTTAGCAATGACGAAACTGATCACTCTTATATTTAACAATTTTAAGGGAATAATTGTATTAAAATTAAATTATTTAAACCTTTCCAACCTGGAAAATTGTTTAATTTAATTGCATATTTATTTAAATCACCTTTAATCTTGTATCTGAACTTCATATTTCAAAATCTTGTGTGCGTCATATTTGCGTCTATAAATCTGTTAACTTTTAACCTCTGATTTTGATATTAAAGAAAAAAACTTTTCTAAATCTCAAAAGCTTTTCCAGTTACAAATCTTAATTTTCAGAAATGTACAGGTGGTGTTGGTGTGGAAACACATTAAAGATGTATCTCTAAACTGCCATGTGCACAAGTCTACAACACTGCTTTTTATTATTTTTTATGATTTAATGATAAATTAACTATCAGTATTGAGAATTTATCAGTTATAAAAATAATCATTTTGCTTCTTAATCTGTTTTTAACCAGTGAGCATTTTTCAGACAGAAAAACAGAACAAATTAGTTTTCCTACATTAAAGTAATAGGAATAATAAAAATAATGAATAAAAGTGACCAAAAGGTATTAACTGTTACATATTTTACTTAAAAATAAAACATTGTGAATTTACATATTTCCTATACATTAAATACTGAAAATGTTTGTTAAAATATTAATCTTTTGTAGATATATCCATATAAAATTTTTAAAAAGATATATCTATAAAATCTATCAAATATAAAACTACAAGTTAACAAATCAGAACAAAACATAAAAGGTGGATGTAAGTAAATTAATGTATAAGTATGGGTTGTTCACTGATTCACTGAAGTCATAAAAAAATATATTCATGTTCAAATTTTTAAAGTGTAATGGAAAATATATTTTACTATAGCAGGGGAGCTACATGGAGGGAAGACAAACAGTGATCAAGCACAAAACCTACGAAATGGCGATAATCATCATCCCTGTTATCATCATTATTATTGTTTTATGTTCATTATTATTATCACCATTTTGTAAGTTTTGTGCTCGATCACTGTCATCAGTCCATCCAAGACGTGTCTGTCTCTGTGCTAAAAAAAGAAAGCTATGCAGGCTGTGTTTTTACATATCAGGTCTGTGGGAAAAATGCATTTTGAGAAGAATCTCTGTCAGAATTTTCCATGGTGTTGACTTCTGATGATGATGATATTGATGATGATAATAATAATAATAATAATAATGGTGTGCACCCCATCCTAGTTATTGCATGCCTTGCAACCTCGTAACTCTGCATAGGGCAAGTGGGTATGGAAAATGACTGAATGAATTAATGAATAATAATAACAATAATAATTATAAGGAAAAGAAGAAAAAACAACTTTCAGGCCATTAACTTGATAGATCAGTTGGAGTAGATTGTTTTATAAATGCGTATTCAGTACATATATTACTTCATATTATTTATATAGTGGTCAGTTTTACTGAATTAAATAATCAATGTTGTTCAATTGTGTGGTTCGGGGATTATAAACATAACAAGACACTTACTGAAGTGGAAAAATATTTATTCAAAATAGAATTTTCCAGCATAACTGCACTGTACAGTACAATGGGACTCTGAATTACAATAAAGTATTACATGATTTTATTCATAAAGTACGAAAAAATAGAGTATATTAAAAAAATAGAAATTAGGTTCTTGAAGACATGTATGTTTGATTGGAAGGCTGGTTTTGTTACCAGTTACAGTATTGTAAATACAGTAGTTTATTTAATATAACTAAACAATAAAATATACCATTTCTCAATTTACAATTTCTACTCCCGAAAGAAATACCTAAAATACTATTATATTATCTTAATCCACAAAATGGGCAAATAATGCAAAAAAACAAAACAGTAAATAAATAAAGTACTGACAAATAAGTTGTTTCTGGTTGTGAGACTGACCGAGTCACACAGATGCTGCTTTTGTTCCGTTTCAAAAAAGTTTTGCAACACGGTACAAAAATCAGAAGACAAAGCTGAAAGCTGTCTCCGTTTGCTCTCAACCATTTCCTTAAATGGCCAGATCAGTGACCTGTGTGCAGGTGAACACAATGCGCCTAAACTTATAATTGCAGCAATGAGACATCATTATTTATGAATTTCCATCTCTGTGTTTTCAGAAATACTTTCTATGGCTAAAGTGCCTTTCAAGACCTATCCTGCCAGTCTTCCACTGAACCACAGTAATGAATAACGCAATAAATTATTAATGCAGTACCAACGAGAAAACAGCAAGAGCCTTCATTTCACCATATAAGACAAAAATCTGTATGCTATGCAAACACGTTTTATGGATATATACGGTGTTTTCTGTATATATGCACATATGTACACAAACACCTGGACACATCAGAAAACCAACCTTAAAGATGTATACCAGGGAGAGGAAATGTTAAGAGATGGTGAGACAGTATTTCTATAAGGTTTCTGTAATGTCTAGGCACTGCAGGGATCCATTCTACCAGGAAGCAAAACCAGCAGGAACCTCCTTACAGGAACCTCCTTACAGGAACCTTCTCTGGAATCTGTTTGCTATAATAATCCTGCCAATGTGTGCATTTTGAGAGTAAACTAAAGATTGCGTCTGACTCACAAATGGTAATTAATATAAGACCTTGCATTAAGGGCATGAGAACATTGACATCACCCCCCAAACTTTAGACCTTGGAAGAGAAGAATACTGACGTGCCTCTGCAAATTGCCAATGTACTGCTAAGCTTGAGGGACCTTCACATTTCCTGACACTGTGGCAATAGCCAAATGTTTGCATATGCCCGTTGAGTAATAACCTGGAGTCCATACTGAAAGGAGCCCATTGCCTAACCTGTAAGCTGAGCAAATATTACCATTCTGGTGCCTTTAAAATCATCTTTTTTTAAAGTCTGCCGCTCATTATTTATTTATTCACAAAGATCTCAGAGGAGATACTTTTGGGTAATCACTCCTGCTGTCTGTGTTACAGTGACGGTCAGGACTGGGGGGGAAAACATGAAGAAACTGATGAGGTCGCGCATCTGCATGTCCTGCACCCAAGGTCTCTCCATCATCTACTGTGCAAAAGTCTTAGACAGTCTTTATCTCCATAGTAAGTGTCTATTTGCCTAGAATAAAAAAAAACCAATTTAACACTAGAACATATTAAGAGTAAGACAATAAAACCTCTTCTCACGGGTACCTAAGCCATTCCAAATATTTGTTGAATTTCACCACCAGCTCACTCACTCAGGTAATTAAATTATGAGGTATTGATTAACCATTCAAGCTCTGTTGGTGGTCAAGTCAAAAAACACATGGGCATATTGTATGGTTGCTGGAAATACTGGGGTGACTTTAGGAGAGATATTGAAGGGGTTAAGCTGACAGACTTTGACAGACATAAAATCATAGTTTTACACCAACATGAAGATCATTTGAACCTCATTTTATTTGACTGTGTAAGACTTTTGCACACTGTTGTAGGTGCTACTGAAGTATCATTGCGCAACAACACAGCTAATGGAGAAATGGCGTGAAATGACGAAATAGCATTTTCTATTTGAAAATGAATCGATTCTGCTTGTATGAATTATCCTTTGTAAATGATGTAGCTCCAGAGCAACATGCACGAAATGCACTGAAACATTATTCTCTGCAAGTTGCTATTGGCTGGCTGCAAGACCAACCGGCATCTATGTCACACAAACTCGTCTCTCATTGCTTTTGCTGTTTTCTCATTTTAAATCTTGATTTTAAAAAAGAAAAGTCAAGTGAGGGATGCAACAATTGATGCAACAATGTTACAAGGCATACGGCTTATTTCTGTCATCTCTGTGTGTCTCTTTGAGAACATCTGACAGTTCATACCCCTGGTGCCTGTTTATACATGAGTCTGGTGAACAATGATTTCCAAAGGTAGCATGACACCATAGTGAGGATAAAAGCTGTTCCAGTGTCCAGTGGCTTAGACAGTGACTCACAGTCTGTGGGGCCACTGTCTGGTTGCATTATGGAAGCCCTTGCCAAAGAAATGGAACACAGCAATTCTAGTCGGTCCCTGAGTTTTTTGGCATTGTTACAAAAAATTAATGAACAATGCCTATCGAGAAGAACGGCTACATTAAAATGGAAAGGTCTAGATCTGTAACTCTTAACATGTCCCCCATTCCCGATTATCAAAGTATTAGTAGTTATTATCTAGTAGTTTATGGAATGGAGCAAAAATATGTACTAGGGTGGATGTGGGGCGAGGGGAGGGGTGGTGCTATATTTAGAAAGATGAGATCAAAGGCCACGTAGGCCTTAGAGATGTTTCAAAATGTTTAAGCTTTTTATATGCTGCCAATACAGCAGACACGGCGCATAAAACTATTCCTGTTATTGGATGAGAGGATCCACATCTTTGCACCTGGAAACGCGACAGCTAGGAGGTGCTGTGCTATATGCATTCCTGAAGGGTAACAGCGTTCGAATTCCCAAAACAGACAAACTTTGAGACAGAACAATGCCAAGTTCTCATGACATCTGCAATGTAACGTGACAACCACACGGAATACGTTTCCGGGAAGCATACACCACTACTACTAGTCATTTTTTGTACACCATCTATTAGTGAAGTGTCACTTCAGAACCCGAATGTGTATGAGGCCATAGATGGAAACCACAGACAGTAAAGTATTTAGGGTTCCCATTCCCAGCCAGTAGAAAGGCACTTTGAATTCGATGTTTCTCTTTGGTTTGAGTTCATATGCATTAATGAATTCTGAAATTTTGCTGGGAAAATTTGGTGAAAAGGTGATGGGGGGGGGGTTCCCCTTGATAATTTTATCATGGAGTACCACCTATCTCGGCTCGGTTAATTTTGTCACCATGATTTCCCAAAATACCGTACTTTTTGGTATACCGTATTACTGTAATACCGCCCAAGCCTACTCAAAGTAGGTTTCTCAATACACTCAACAGCTGTAATGGTGACAGACCTGCAACCTGAAGACTCTCAACATAGATGTTTCCTCACAGAAACTTAGCCGAGGCACTGCACTTCCTGTTGTCAGAAAGGCCGCATTTTGAAACTACAGATCTTACATAAGACATTGTCAGAAAAATATGCAAAACAAAGAGAACCTACACGATTAAATTAAAGACACAGAAAGTTGGGTCCTGATCCTGAAGCTTTTGAAGGCTGTTCTTTCGGCTTGCATTCTGTATTTGAGGTGCTTTTTTAATTCACAGAGCATTAGTCTGCTTTTGTTCAGTCAATGGAAAAGGGGCCTTGTGGTTAGTTAGCACATGCCATGTGTCTATCTGCATGCATGTGCTTGTGTGTAACATCTGTATGTCATGTGCACATAGAGATATTGCAGGCAGTAATTGTATGACTCTTGATGCCCCAACCATTGCTAATAATACCCCACTGTCCTTCAGCCCTCCCCCTGCCCCTCATCCCAGGTCTCCATCACGTCTACGTGCAACCACAGGACTCCACAATCATATCCGGCACGTCGGTCTTGACAATGCTGTGCTGCGATTTGAAGTACACCATGGAGAGTGGGCGCCGCTGGATGGGCACGCAGCAGGAGGTGATGGCCGTCTCGATGCCATTGGCCTTCAGCTGGCTGAAGACCGTGGCGTGGAAGGATGAGGCGATGCCAGGCGAGCCGGCCAGGTGGTGGGGGCACTGCCCCATGCAGTAGTTCATGTGGTAGCCCTCGGGCGCAATGATCCAGTCCTGCCACTGGATGTCCCTGAACCTGATGTAGAAGTCTTTCTTGCAGCAGACGGTTACGTCGTCGCCGCACTGCAAGGAGCGCTTCCGCAGGGCGTGCCTGGATTCGTCCTTCCGCAGCCGCACCTGCGCGACCAGGAATGGCCGGTGGGAGGAATTGGCAGACCCTTGAGCCATGCACAGGTCCTGCTCGCCCACACGGCATGCGACTTCCATCCGAAGCTGCTGCTGCCCCCCGTCTAAGAACTCCTGCAGGGTGTGCGTGATGGCAAAGGTGTGCCAGCTACTTCGCTGGACCTCCACCTCCTTCTGCAGCAGCAGGGTGCGGTTCCCGGTGTCTTGTGCGGACAGGTAGATCTGCACCATCACACGGGAGTCCCTGATGGGAGTATCAGCAGAATATATGTACAGCCACAGCGAGGACTGCAGCACCTGAATACTTTGTCCACGCTCCTGCAGAAACTGGAATGCAAGGCTTGGCTGAGAGCCACTGGAGTCTGTGTCATCTGAGCACAGGGAAAGACCCCAAATCCACAAATTAGGACAAAGGTTAACCAGTTAAACTTATGGTATCAATGTAGCCTAAACAATGTCCGGCAAAAAGTACTACATACTTCTGAAAATTAATAGCCAACAGACTACAAAGCCAACAGACATCACGTCTGTTTCGTGGCCAGGTAACATCATACCGAAAATTTTTTGTTGTTCCAGACCGTCAACGTGATTGCTCTCTGTATGCCGATATTTACGATGGGTCATCAGGTTTACGAGGCTCATCGGCTGTTTATGGACTGCTAGTAGTTTTTTAGATTTGTTTTTCATGTCTATTTGCAAATTTATAATTTAACAAGAACATTCCAAGCAAGTCGATTTCCCTGATGCAGCTTGCACAATAAATTTGATTACCACATAGTTTTAAATTTGTACGAAATACCCGAAATGAAGGTTTTTTGGGGCCATATAATCAAATATGCACATTTATTTTTATAAATCTTGACTTTAGAGATTTTCCCTTCCCTTTCTTCGCTAGAGTAACGGTCCGCTGTCGTATTAAGCTGAAATGGCAGGCTAGATTACTATGTAATCATTCTTTATACATTTCTTGTAACTGACATTGCTCCGTGTCAGTTATGTTGTCTTAGAGGCCAAGATAAATCAAAGTCAAGATTCTTTATTTCCCTTTAGATTAGTACATAAGAATTATTATTAGAACTATCCCGTCCGTACGCTATCAGAAAAAAGGGGTAAAAAATTGTATCTTGTCACCAGGGCTGTATGTACCCTTGTAATTATACCTTTTAAGGTACAGAAATTAACTCTGAGGAACATCCAAAAGGTACAAACAGCATGTGCCATCAGTGGAACAGATGTTTCTTGGAGTCCATTTCTGTACCTTAAAAGGTACAATTACCAACAGCTAAGGGTGAAATTGGCAGACCCTTGAGGGTACAGCCCCAGTGACAAGCAAAGGTACAAATTTTACCCTTTCTTTTGAGAGTGTAACGTAACATCCAGTAGCCTATAAACATAAACAGAAAACTGATTTAACTTATAGGCCTAAAAGAAATGGAATATGTCCACAGATCTTGTATATTATACTATTATGTTGTATACAACATACAGTAGTATAATAGTAAATATTTTAGGTCACATGTCCTCGCCACCCTGTACTTAATAAGCGGTTGTAGCACGAATGGAAAGGTGGTTCTCCATACAAAATTAAACAAGTGGAACTTACTCATGTCCGCAAAGCTGACTATCTCGTAGCCCTGGTCCTTGGTGTGAGCGCCCAGCAGGGAGTTTTCAAGCTCCAGAGTGCCGTCCTGTCTCACGCGGCCAGCGTGCAGCTTGCGGAGTGCGGTGAGCAGCGCCGGCCGGGGTACAGTCTGCGTGATGTTGGGGCGCTCTTTCAGGTGCAGCTTGTTTAAAATCTGCTGTTTGGCGATCTCGATCAGTAGCTGCTCCTCAGAACCCTTCACCATCGCATGTATGCCGCAAGATGGACAACCAGAAGTGGACCCGGCAGTGGTCGCTGCGTTCAGTCCCTCCAGAAAAAGAACAGCCATCATCAGATAAATTCTAAATACCCAAGAATTTAGGCCGTCGTTTAGCCTGGTCCAGTTAATCAACATTCTGGCTGTGCTCTAGAGTAAAATTAGAACTATTAAAATATATAATTCTATTGGTTTTTGTTTTCTTGTTCTTTATGTCTCATTCAAATGGTTCCCCACTGGAAAAATACTGTTACAAGCAATTATGAAGTTTCGTAAGCTGATGCTGAAGCCGCTGAGATGGTTGGATCGCTACAGTAGAAGACTAGCAAATGAGGATTTGTAGAGATCTAAGAGTAATCCACCAAAAGTTGTTACACGTTAGCGGCACGCAACAATGACCGTCTAAGGGAAATTACACATAAACACATACACGAATACAAGCGGAGAGAGAGAGAGAGGGAGCACGAGAGGGAATCAACTGAGGCAAGCGATAACTATAGGATTGAGCAATAAGGTGATAAACTTGGCTCTACAACGTGGCACGTAACCCTGCCTGTGCTAATCACTGAGGAGTATGCTGTCCAGGTACAGTTAATAATCACCGTTCTTAAACAAAAAACGCACGTAAAATGCAATTCGTACCGTGCTATGACTCCAATATGGCAACAAGCCGAAAGTTTAGTCAGCGCTGGAATCCAAAGTACGAATGCGTTGATCTTTGTGCCACTTACCTTTCTCCTTCCTATTCTCTATCCAAAGAACCGGTTTTGGAAAGTGGAGCTCAACACGTGTATTGTAAATATGATGCAATAAAGCTGTTTGGGACGATTGACAGTCTGCCACAGAGTCAGGGCAAAAAGGACAAATGTAGATCGTTGATCATTAATTGCTCTAATTTTGCAATTTTGCATTATTTTACATTCCCAGTGCTCCACACACAAAGGCGTGCATTAGGTTTCAGCATTGGTATGGACCAATTCAGCCCCCCGCCCCCCTAAACACATATCGTGCTCCCTTGGATGCCCTTGGCCATGCACTGTAGTTTTTGGACCAAAACTAAACTTGAGACCGAAATAAACACCTGTCAAAACTTCGTATGCATTATATTCACCTGCTTTCTATAACGTCGACAAACATGATGCTGCCATCGCATCGAAATTGTGTCACATCATGGACATGCTGTTGTAGCCTGAAAACTTAATTCCAACAGCGCGTTCGTTTCTATAAGGAGCGATAATGTAAAGACAGCATTGGGTAAGCGCTCGCGCGCGTGTTTGTCTGTGTGTTGGGGGGGGGGGCTCATACCTGACACAGTAAGAGTGCATGTAGCCTGTAACCCTGTAACTTGTTCTTTTTGTAATAAAACAATGTTAGGAGTTTTTTTATATATATCAACTCCATTTATATACTCTAATGCAGGTGTCACAGGGAGTCCATTAAAGTGCATCACAGAATGGAAAATCAGAAATGTGGTAATTCAATTCTTTGCACAAATCAATTCCCTCCGAATAGGTTTGGTGGCACCACCCTCCGGGTGACGTATGATGCTCAAAAATGGACACAAAACACACACAGGAATCCATTTATATAGCTGGATTTTAACTGGAACAACTAACGCGTATTGCTTAAGATTCCGACAGCAGGTTTTAGAGGAGCGGAGTCCAATAAGCTGCAGTGTTGTATGCTACATGTAGAGTATTCAGACTGTGTAGCATTGTACTATAAAACAATTAGACCATACCATATTATCTCAAAAGCATTATACTGAGAAAGTTATTTTGGGCTAGACTCGCTGATACGATGAAATTTAAATGAAAGCCTTAAAAAAAATGATAGAGAAGTGCATAGAAACAAGGAATACATTTGCTTCAAATTATTCATTAAAACTTTGAGGTGTAGGGTTTACACGAAAAAAATAAGGCAGAGTATTACACTTTTTACATTAAGAATGTAAGGATTTAGTATTATTAGATTCAGTAAACAATCATTGCGTTCCAACTGAAATGTAATACAAATGAAGACAGCAGCAATGATTCTCCGTTACCTTCGCCTTGGAGCGGCGAGAAAGTCGTGCCTTTTTGTGTCGCTCGTAATCATTCAATGTCACTCTACCACCACCTTGTGTATACAAACTAACATGCCTGTGCTACATTCAAAGGTTTCAAAGCATACATACACATATGGCCATGCTGCCTTAAATGACTTTCACTCCACAATTGAAAATAGTACAATTAAAATATTTTCACGCCTAAAATGATGTCAACACGAAGTCGCTAACATTATGCTTTTGAAATCGAATTTACATTACAATAATAAACTGAAATAGTTTAGCTATTATTATTATTGTTGTTGTTATTATTATCATTATTATTATTATTGCATACCGCAACAAAACAGCAACAACAAAACAACAACAATAATAATAATAAGTGCGTTGCACGAACACCAATTCCAGAATACCAGACAGCTTGGGGTAATGAAGTCTTACAGGAACATAAGAAACACAGTGTGAATATAGAGCGACAATGCCAATTGCAAACCAGTGACAGAGATTCAGCCGGCAGATTTTTATCGTAAGATTTTACGTAGAGGAGGGAAGACGACACAACGAAATATGCTGACGTAGAGCACGAGCACACGTAGGGGTGACGCGCGACACAGGAGCCCGAGACCAAAGGGGGAATGTTGTTAGCTAGCAATTTTTTTCTTTTAGTTTAAACTCAGAGTCTTTATCCTCTCCTCGCTGTTCACTTTTTGCCCGATATCTTGCTGTTCGGTTAATTATTTTGGGATTAGCCAGCTAGCTGACGTTACGTTCCCTCCCACGCGTTGTCGCGTTGTGTTTTTTTTTTTTTAAATGCAAGGGGGTTAGCCAGTCAGCTAGTCAGTCAGCCAGCTAACTACCAGTATTATTAGCTTCCGTCAGTCGCTGGTTTGTTGCGGCTGCCGTTCAGTTCCACTACTCCTTTGAATTTGCGACTAACTTTTGTAACGTCAACTGTTTATATTTCGCTATAAAAAGCCAAGTAGATAAGATAGCCAGTCCAGTGACATAGTAGAAAAATAAGCGCTGGGACCCCGGTTAGCCTGTCGCTAACTCCAGGACCATAAGATCGGGATTTTGCCGTCTTTGAATGAAGAGACGCTTAACCGGTGAGTGTCAGTATTAGCTCGAGTTGTTTGTATACGTTCTTTGGTCAAATTTACGTTTTAATCTGGCAACTGTTCGTCCGGTTATGTGACTTGAACGCGCGTTTTGTTTAACCCAATATTTAGTCGGCTAATACTTGTATTACATACACCAGTCTTTCGGTTTTGCGTAGCTACATTTCTAGCAAAGAAATGTAATATTTTGGTAATGTGAGGGAGATTGTGGGGTTAGTAAACGTTCCTAATTGTGTTTTAAATAATTCACATTTCAGGCTGGTCAGTGCTAGCTAACGGGTCGTTAAGACTCGATTTTGACTTGATGGATGCGGGTTAAAGAGTGATAAACATGAGAATATGAAATGGTGCCGCGGATCAACAGATCACACAGTGGTTACGTTTCCGATGACTGACGCGTAGTTTTCCCACGGCAAAGACGATAGACAGTGTATTGCCGCGGAGTGTGGCTGCAATTACCCAGCGAACACTCTTCAGCTTCATTGTTGTGATTTGGGAGACCGTAAGATTTTGGTCAAATCCGCATTATTGTGTTTTAAACAGGCCAAAAACCTCGATTCCCTGTTGTATATCACTGTTCTCTTAGCCCCGGAGAAATTGGGCCGGCACATTTTACGTGCCGTTACCATGCCAGAATACGGGGTTCACAGTCGCAAAACGAGGGAGTGCTGTTTAAAAAGTAGGTGTATCTGAGTCGCCTGTTTATTTAATTAACACGGTGTTTGCTACGGTCGTAGGACATCGTCGAGTGACCGATTGTTTCGCGCCCATGAGCTGTACGCCGGCTGCTCGTTACATAGTGTGCGTGAAAGACAGGGCCGCTTGAGCTGTAAGCACAGATCTGATTTCGAGCTGCGATGGAAACTCCCCCTTTCCCTCCTTGTGTGCAGGCTGGAAGGCATTGGCAGCCATGATAGTGCGTTAAAAAAAAGAAAAAGTCTAGCTCCATTGACTGGTGTATGCATGTTTCCATCAAATACGACAAGCCTTAGTAAAGTGCATGTCTTATGCGTGGGAGAGACATGTAGCTTCTTAAGGTAGGCAGTTTCAGGAAGATGAAGCAGGGCAGTACCGTTTTACAGGTCCTGATTGCTTAGCCCTATTCTTCTGACCTTAACATTGTTGTTATGTTTTTTAAAGTAATGTTATTGAGCGTTGTAAGGAGTTCCATTTTTAGCCGATGGAAACAGATGGTTGTAGAAAGTAAAACTGGAAGCCTTGATATGTTGAAACCATGTGTTGGGAGACGAAACTTTAGATGACAAGTACAGATCGCGGACAGTAATTGAAATAATCTCTCCTACATTCAGGTGTTGAAGTCAATACTAAAATATTGCAATGGGTAATGAAGTAAATCGTAAATTAAGAATTAACGCAGCAAGGTACCGAAATAAGAGGGAAAAAATGTGGCGTTCAGGGCATGTTTTGCTATAGTTAATGTAATTGTACTTTTTAGCTGCTGAAAAGTAGTTGTGGCGACTTCATTCGCCATTATAACGGCTCAATTTTTTACCGAAGTAATTTAGGTGAAGCCTTATACTCCAGGGTGCAATAGCAGGGGCTTAAATAGCTTAGAATCCACAATATTTGGGTTTCAAATTTATGGTCTATGCAATGTGCTGCCTTATCTTGTTTAAAATTATTTAATGCAAGATGAAGTACAGACAACCCCACGCAAAAGCATGTGTATTGTTGCTGTATAAAACATGGAACCCTGTTTGCCGTTTATTTGCCCAGTTATCTTGCTGTCTATTGGTGTTTGTGTTATAGCTGGTGTGTAGGAAAAGCAAGTAGGTTTTGGCTAATGTATTTTTGGAATTTACTTTCTTCGACTGCAGTGGTCAAACATTAAATGATTGTGTGCATGTGCACACAATCAGCATCAGCATTACTGGAATGATTCTTAGTTATTACACCCTTAATTTAGCATGTAAATTTAGTGTAACGACTTGTTCTGTTGTATTTGTTGTTTTTTTTTTTGTTTCCTTCATCAGTTTTGGCAGTAAAACTTTTGACGCGAACGCTAGAGTTATCATTTTTTGTTGTGTTGTAGTGAGTTACATTTTCAGAGACGTTTTTGCTTATTTATAATAACAGGTAACAGATTATCTGGAATTTATAATCGCATGCAACAAATAACTGCTCTAAATAAGTGGATTTATGTTTAAATGGTAACATTTTTACATTACCATTTATCATGTATGACTTCAGGCACATGACCTTTTATAATAAAACCTTTAGGGCTACGTTCTTTTCAGCTGCTGTTCACTTTCTGCATTGGCTGTTTATGTAATATAAATATCATGGTGCTGGAAAACACCATTGAAGAAATATGATGTTAGCAGGAAGACTAAAATATATACTCTTGGAAGATACTCTGAATTTTATTTGCAGCTTTAGTTTTTTCTTATTCTTTCTTTTAGTATTATAATCTTTGCTGGATTATTGGCAGACAAATTGATTTGATATGCATGGATGTATTATTCATATGTATGTGATTGATCTCATGATCTTTGTTTTTGAGCAATGGTTAAATACTTTAGTTTCAGCATTTAGTTAAT